CGTGGCAAGTGAAGGAGATTTATGGCCGCCGTCCCGCTTCTCTGGTTTCTCCGAGAGCTCCCGGCTCTGCCCCACCTCCCGCAGAGCTTAGGGTCCCCCCCAGCCTGCGGCACCCTGGGACCGGGTCATTTTGCAGCAAATTACCAAAGAGAAGCGTCCAGATACTCGTCCCCTCCTGAGGTGGTGGCCGTGGTCACCAGGTCAGCAAAAAACCAGACCTGGTGGGTTTCTGCCCCCCCTCCCGCAGAGCTTAGGGTCCCCCCCAGCCTGCGGCACCCTGGGACCGGGTCATTTTGCAGCAAATTACCAAAGAGAAGCGTCCAGATACTCGTCCCCTCCTGAGGTGGTGGCCGTGGTCACCAGGTCAGCAAAAAACCAGACCTGGTGGGTTTTTACCTCTGTAGGCAGAAGGTTCCTATAAGGAGCCCTGGGTGCTGTGCTTGGCACCCCAGCTTGGCATGGGGCTGCTGGGGGGTCTCTGCTGGAGGCACCCCAAAGCAGCCTTTGGGCTGAGACACCTCTTGGAGTGACGGGTGGTCTTCGGGACAGGGGTTGAACGACCCGACGTGAGCCCGGTCTCTGCTGCTGCCTCTCCCAGGCCTGTGGGACGCAGCCCTTGCTCCGTCACCTACCACAGATGGAGGGGTGGAGAAGGACAAGCTGTGAATAACCAGCAGCTGGTGGAACATGTCTGCAGGTGGAATAGCGGGATATGCGGTCCCAGAGCAGGAACTGTCATTTTTTGTCTGGCAAGTCATTACCCTTCTCTGTGCCTCAGTTTCCCCATCTGTAAAATGGGGGTGAAGATGCTGACCTACCTCACAGGGCTCATGTGAGGACCCCATGAAGCACTTGGAGGATGACCAGTGCTTGACAAACACGTGCTAAAATTTTTACCGAGTCCGGGGGACCAGATTCCCAGAGCCACTGTGGGGCACGGTGACAACTGTGGCTCAGAGTGCCCGGGTCTCCTCCCCCTCCATCACTAAATCCCACAGAAGAACCACCCTGGGGACACACCATGCACGCAGCGGTCCCAGCGCAAACATCCCCTGGCAGGGGCTGAGGGTGCCTAGGGACCACCAGCGTGTTTTGCCCGCGGGCTTTGTCCCATGGGATTTATCTCAGAAGCCGTTTTGCCATCAGGTGCTT